CCCGGCCACACGTCCTGTCTCAGTGCTGAGGCCTCTGCTCAGGCATCCTCCCCAACTCCGCACCCATTTATGCAGCCACCTGCTGGGCATCTCCACTTGAATTCCTCTCAAGCATTTTAAATTTAACAAGACGAAATAAAGCTCTTGATTTCTCCACCGAATGTACTCCCTGCTGTGTTTCCGGCCTGTCTCAGTGCTCGGGAAGTGGTCCCCTGGAACACGCCATCTGTTAACTCAATGCCTAGAAAGCATCCCTCCGTGGCTCCCCTTCTGTTGTCTCCAACTAACCTAGCAACTTATCTCTCCCTCCACATTGTCCCTTGGTACGGCCCTCTTTTCTCTGTCCAAACACCTAAACATACACACACCCTGTGGTCCACCTATTTTCTGTCACCTGTAGAGATAACCCTTGCACTGTTCCTCCTCACCGGATTCAGCAGTTGGAGAAGGGGTCACCTGGGAAGCTGAAGGTAGTGGCTAAATCTACGGAAGGAACAGAGATGATTGAGGGCCTTTACAACACGGTGAGTTTCTGTCGTGTGAGCACTGGGTGGATGAACACGCTCATAAGTTAGTGCAGATGAAACTTAAGGGAAAATTATACCAGCATTAACTCTTTTCTTGATTCTTCGTGAGAGTCTGATACATATGGAAGGTGGTTGTGCTGTTGACATTTGATAGTTTTCAGTGGTACACGAAGCATACGATGGTAAAATATACGTGTGTGTGTGACTATACAGAGAACAAAATCTGGAAGCAGGTATACCTGCTTTTAGTGCTTACTTCTGGAGAATTAGATGTCATATACATTGCTGCATTTGAATATTTTTGCAATAAACATTGAATATATTTTATAATCAAAACAACAATAAAGATATTTTCAAAAACAAACAATGTAAAATCTCCAAACAGTGTGACTAGTCCATGGACTTTTGGGTGGCAACAATTCAAATTTAAACTGATGATATTTAGAGACCATTTCTTTTGTAAACTGTAGTTTATACCTTTTTTTTTCTTTTTGTGGTACGCGGGCCTCTCACTGTTGTGGCCTCTCCCGTTGCGGAGCACAGGCTCCGGACGCGCAGGCTCAGCGGCCGTGGCCCACGGGCCCAGCCGCTCCGCGGCATGTGGGATCTTCCCGGACCGGGGCACGAACCCGCGTCCCCTGCATCGGCAGGCGGGCTCTCAACCACTGCGCCACCAGGGAAGCCCCCAAACTCCTAATTTATCCCTCCCCACCTTTTCCCCTTTGGTAACCATAAGTTTGTTTTCTATGTCTGTGAGTCTGCTTCTGTTTTGTGAATAAGTTCATTAGTATCATTTTTTTAGCTTCCACATATAAGTGATGTCATATGATACTTGTCTTTGTCTGGCTTACTTCACTTAGTATGAAAATCTCTAGGTCTATCCATGTTTCCAATTTGTTAAAAAAAAAAAAAAAAAAAAAAAAGTCCTGCTGGGATTTTGATTGAGATCATTTTGCTTACGTAGATGAATTTGGGAGAAGTGACATCTTAACAACACTGATTTTTCCGGTACGTGAACCTCATATATCTTTCCATTTATTTGCGAGTTCTTTAGTTTCTCTCAGCAGCTTTTTGTCATTTTGCTCTATAAGTCTTTCATGTATTTTGTTAAATTTATCTCTAAGTATTTCATATTTTTAAGCTACTGTAAGTGGTATTTTAAATCTTCAGTGGTTAGTAGGTAGTACATAGAAATACAAATGATTTTTGTATATTGACCTCCTTAGGATTTGTTCTGCATAAAACACCAGTTTTGTTTCTTCTTTCCAATCTGTGTGCTTTTATTTCTTTTTCTTGCCTTGTTACACTGATTAAGACATCCACAACAGTGTTGAATGGAAATTGTGAGAGTCCCCCATCTCAGCAGTGAGGCCGTCTTTCATCCCAGCTGGGATGTGAGCTCCCGGGTTTTTGCAGATGCCTTTTATCAGGCTGGGGAAGTGTTCTTTTATTCTGAGTGTGCTGAGGATTTTATTAAAATCCTCAAAGGGTGTTCAGTTTTGTCAAATGCTGTCCCCACATCTATTGGGATGATTAAGTTGTTTTCTCCTTTACTCTGTTAATATGGTGAATTACACTGATTGATTTTTGTATGTTAAACCAGATTTGTATTTTGGGGACAAAGCCCACTTTTTTTATGTTGCTCTGTTTTACTTGCTGACATCTGTTAAGGATTTTGCATCTATGTTCATGAGGAATGTTGGCTTCTAATTTTTCTTTTCCTGCCCTTGTTTGATTCTGTGTCAGATGATTGTGCCGGCCGTCTCCAGAGGACTTGGGACGTGGTCCCTCTTCTGTGTCCCAGAGACTTTGTGTATCATTAATGTTATTTCTTTTTTAAAAAAAAATTATTGATTTATTTTATTTATTTTTGGCTGCATTGCATTTTCGTTGCTGCGTGCAGGCTTTCTCTAGTTGTGGTGAGCGGGGGCTACTCTTCATTGCGGTGCGCGGGCTTCTCATTATGATGGCATCTCTCGTTGCGGAGCACGGGCTCTAGGCACATGGGCTTCAGTAGTTGTGTCACGTGGGCTCAGTAGTTGTGGCTCGTGGACTCTAGAGCTCAGGTTCAGCTGTGGCGCACGGGCTCAGTTGCCCTGCGGCATGTGGGATCTTCCTGAACCAGGGCTCGAACCCGTGACCCCTGCATTGGCAGGCGGCTTCTCAACCACTGAGCCACCAGGGAAGCCCTTAGTGTTATTTCTTAAGTGTTCCATAGACTCTACCAATGAAGTCTCCTGGGTCTGGAGTTAATTTATGGGAAGTTTATACATTGTGCATTCAGTTTCTGTAGTGAGTATAGAGTTCCTTAGTCTGCTAGGGCTGCCATAACAAAGTGCCACTAGATGGGGTTTCTCTCGGCTCTGGAGAGCAGACCCCTGAGATCAAAGTGTGAGTAGACTGGTCTCCTCTGAGGCCTGTCTCCTGGGCGTGTAGACGGCCACCTTCTCTGTGTGTCCTCACGTCATCACCCCTCAGTTTTTGTTGTGTGTGTCCCAAAAACCTCTTCTTATATAAGGACACACGTCAGACTGGGTTTAGGCCACCCCAATGGCTTTGTTTTACCTTAATCACCTCTGCAAAGGCCCCATCTCCAAATACAGTCACATTCTGAGGTTCTGGGGGTTAGGGCTACAACATGAATTTGGGGAAGGGGCACAATGCAGCCCATGATGTAGGGTTACTCAGACTTGTATGGGTGCAAGTTTGGTAAATTCTGTCTTTCAAGGAATCTATTTCGTCTAAACTGTCAAATTTATTGGCATAGGGTGTTCACAGTATTCTGTTACTGTCCTTTTAATGTCTGGAGGGTCCATAGTGAGGTTCCCTCTGTCATTCCTGTTATTGATCATTTGTTTTTGCTCTCTCTCTAAATGTAGGTTTTGTTAGCAATTGGTCGTGACTCCTGTACGAAGAAAATCGGGCTGGAGAAGATTGGTGTCACAGTCAATGAGAAGTGAGTCCCGGGCATCACCACCCAGCGCCGCACGGGGCAAGTCCCGGCGCCGCACGGGGCAAGTCCCAGCGCCGCACGGGGCACGGTGTTTCTACACATCAGCTCCTGGAGACTCGTACCTAATTCCTAGCATGCAGAGTTTCGGTGCTTTAACCTCACTTGGTGAGCACCGGGCCAGCTCTGCATTATCAACTGTCTCATTAATCAATTGATAGCTCCTCATGTTTTCCTTAAATATCTCATGCTTTAAACAGTTACTTTAAAAAAACTGTGGGAACGTATTCACCTACTTTCTGTGATTTCGAATGAATTTGTATGTCCTTGATCAGGCACAGAGAAAAATTTCAAAGCTATGGGTTTGACTCTGGGGGAATCTAGAGATACTTTGGCACCCAGAAAGTGGGCCTGGTTTTTCAGCCAGAAGGGTGTTTCTTCAGGAGCCGGAGGTGCCCCAGTTGTTTGAGCCCACAGACGCTTGATGACACAGTTGCCTGAGCGCTTAGCAGGGTCTTTCTCTCTGAATCAGCCTTTTCCTGGACAGGCGTTCGTGTCCAACACTGCAGCGTCGTCGTGATATCTTTTTTCTTTCCAAACGTAACAGGACTGGCAAAATCCCAGTGAACGACGTGGAGCAGAGCAGTGTGCCCTATGTCTACGCCGTCGGAGACGTCGTGGGGGGTAAGCCTGAGCTCACGCCCGTCACCGTGCAGGCGGGCAGGCTGCTGGCTCGAAGGCTTTTTGGGGGCCGTTTAGAAAAGGTAAGTTTCTTACTGCTGTTTCTGAAATAATGTCTAAATCAAAATTATGATTTGAGGGCAATCAGTACAGGTGGCACCGTGTGCCTGTTTCGCTGGGGAAGCTTCCCCCTAAACCGTTTGCAGTTCCGTACCGTTTACTGATGGTTTTAAATAAATATCTTATGAGTATCTTAACGTGCAAGCCATTGTACTGGGTGACGTACGGGGGGCGCCCAGGTAGGGACGTCTTGTCTTCTGACTGGAGGGGTCTGGAAACGCGTCCCGGGTGGATACTGCTCTGCCACCGGGTGGCAGGGCCCTGTGGCCCTGGGCGGACGGGGCCGACCTCTGCGCCTGCCCAGCCTGTGGACCTGGTCTAGCCACCCTGCTGCTCTGGGCTCCGGGCTCTGTTTCAGACTACGCACGGCTGACGGTGCATCTGCCGCCCCCTGCAGTCTCCCCACCTCCCGCAGTCTCTGGTCACAGCCGAGCCTCTTGCTCTGCGGGCTCTGTCTGCCAGGGCCGACGGTGGTCTCGGGAGCCCCCAGCCCTACGCCTCAGGAGAGCAGGGACCCGTGTGCTGCTGGCAGATGAGGGGCAGCAGGGGAGGTGGCCAGGCCCCATGGGTGGGGGTGCTCAGGGGGCCTGCTGTGCTGCCCCAGCCTCAGTGCAGAGAGAGGCCTGGCATGTGCTGGCAGAGCAAGGGGTCCCACAGCTGGGAAGGAAGAGTCTGGGAGCTAATCTGGTGCCAGATCATCAAAAATCTGGGAGGCTGCAATAAGGAACTTTTATGTCCCCCAGCGTTTTATTCAGAAAGGTATCCAACTGCAGAAAGTTTAGTAACAATCACCCTATGGACCTCCCACCCGGCCCGTGCAGGTGTTAATGCCCTGTCATTCACTGCCCCCACGCCTGCATTTCCGAGTATGTGGATGTTCAGCACAAAGACTGTTTTGCTGCGCTTCTGGAAGTGAGTGGCAGGCGCTTTGCCCCCAGGAAACGCTTTCAGCAAGCGTCCCCTAACAACAAGGGTGCTCGCCTCCATAACCACAGCTGCATCTCCGCGCTGAGGAAGTGAGCAAAGTGCGTCACCCGCGGGCACACGTGCGCGTCGCCTGGCACATCTGGCTTTTCAAGCTCTTAGGTCTCTTTTCTTTTTTATTTTTGCAGTACGCGGGCCTCTCACTGTTGTGGCCTCTCCCGTTGTGGAGCCCAGGCTCCAGACGCGCAGGCTCAGCGGCCACGGCTCACGGGCCCAGCCGCTCCGCGGCACGTGGGATCCTCCCCGACCGGGGCGCAAACCCGCGTCCCCTGCATCGGCAGGCGGACCCCCAACCACTGTGCCACCAGGGAAGCCCTCTTAGGTCTCTTTTAATCCACTAGAGCCCCTGCCTCTATTTAACTGTTTCTTTGCTTTATTTCTCATGACGGGTTTTTTTTGTTTGTTTGTTTTTTGCGGTACGCGGGCCTGTCACTGTTGTGGCCTCTCCCGTTGCGGAGCACAGACTCCGGATGCGCAGGCTCAGCGGCCATGGCTCACGGGCCCAGCCGCTCCGCAGCATGTGGGATCCTCCCGGACCGGGGCACGAACCCGTGTCCCCTGTGTCGGCAGGCGGACTCTCAACCACTGTGCCACCAGGGAAGCCCTCATGACGGACTTTTTGACGGATCCAGGCTACTCTTCTTGCAGAGTGTCTCACGTCCTGGGTTTCTCTGATGCTTTGCCTGAGCAGGTTCAGGTGGGATGTTTGGGGCCCGGCTTCTTCATAAGGAACTCCGTGTGCTGTGTTTCACCACCAGGTGCCCATCGAGGTCGTGTGTGGAGACCTCGTGGGCACACGGAGGCGTGGGTGGGTGCACGTGACTGGGGCCGTGGCCCTGCTGGCCTCGGCGGGGGCAGGGGTGTGAACGGATGGGGAGCTGTCCCCTCCCCAGGGCATGAGCACCAGGCTGTAGGAAGCACAGCAGTTGCCTGAGGTCCTGAGAAGGGGATCCCAGGGGCGGTGGGCGGAGACGTGAGAAGACAGGGCAGCACATGTGCAGAGAGAGGTCAGAGGACCAGTGCGGGAGGAAGGCTGCAGGTGGGGTGAGGCGCGGGCCCGTTCAGGTGGAGGTCGGAGTTCAAGATGTGGGACGTGCTTTAGGTGAAAGGGGAAGCTGGGGAGTTTCCTATTGATTTTCCTCAATTGATATGAAGCAGGAGAAAAGCATCTGCTGAGAATGAGGCGTCCCCTGTAAGCCATGGGATGCAGGGTTGATGACCAGATTGATGAGCAACCGAGGACCTAGGAGAGGTCAGGAACTGCTGCATGCAGCCGTCTGCACTTCTGTGGGTTTCTGTAGCTGTGCTGGAAAAAGGAAACAAATGCTTGGCTGGTCCGTGATTTGCAGGTCGTGGAACACGATGTGTCAGGGCCGAAGGTGAGGGTCAGGCTGGTGCGCGGTGTCCACATTGTCCACCGGGTACAGGGACGCCCGGTGGTCTGTGATTGGCTTTTCTCTTGGCCACAAAGCAGCGCCTCGCTCAGGCCGTCACGTCGACGGGGTTTCTCGTGAGGATCCCATAGTAACCTGGAGGGAGAACCAGGCTGGGGTGGGGCTGGGCTCGAGGCTGCCCTGGGCCCCGAAAGGGTGGGGTTCCTGGTTGGCTACCACTCTGGCTGAGCATTTCCTCCTGTCCAACCACCACCCAGGGGCTTCACCACTGGGGGCCTCTCCCTTCGCTTCTAGTTCACATCCTACAGAGGGAAGAATTTGATGGACGGAGCTCCCCTTTTCCTCATGCAGTGTGGGCAGCCGTTCGCTCCCTTTGGGTTGGAGTCTCCCCTGAGCTAGTCACCTGTGAGCTGTTGGCGGGGTGGGGGAAGTCATGCGGTGGACACTGCTGCCCTTGCGGAGCTGTGGGCGTGCAGCACAGTGACCTTCCTCTCTGGCTCTGCCCGCCCCCTATCTTGGCCCCGCACACACTTTCTCTCTGTGCAGTTACAGTTTCCAGACAGGCGTGTGCCTGTGCTCACACTCGCGCCCCGGGATGCAGGGCTGCTGGGGACGGCGTGTGGGGCTCAGGGTCTGCAGCCTTCCCGTGATGTCCTCCTGTGCTCTGTCCCAGGCTGATGAGGGCCCTGAAGGGTCCCATCTCCGGGCCCCGCGGTGTGGCGGCCCTCCATGCGTGTGGCCATCTCCCCGGGGCGGGCTGGGCCGCTCACCCTACCCTGCACGGCTGAGCGGCTTCTCTGCTCATCCCTGCAGGGGCGCGGTCATGTGCACGGCTGCGGTGGCCCAGGTCCCGGTGCAATGGCAGCGCGTGGTCCCTGCCCCGGAGTCGGGGCGTGCCCGTCTGCTCAGTGACTCAGTTCCCTTAAACGGTGGCAGTGAGGGTCACCTGCACGGGACCGTGCTTGTTGATCTTCCTCTTACAAATGTGCGTTGTATGGATTTTCCCTGTAAGACGTACCACAAAATAAAAGACCGTGACTGGTTTGTCTTGCAGTGTGACTATATCAATGCCCCCACCGTGGTGCTCACGCCCCTGGAGTACGGCGGGTACGCGGAGAAAGCTGTGGAAGTGTACCGGAAGGAGAACCTGGAAGTAAGGTGGTGTGACTGTGGCATGTTCAGACCTTCTCTCTTAATCCACGGTTTGTCTTCAGCCACTTTTTATTTTGTAGTTTTGCGAGTTACTGTAATGGTTGTATCGTAGGAAATTGTATTCCTATTTCAGAAAAATTGGAAATTAAATAACGTAAACCCTGTCTGTAGCAAACTGTAATAATTACACAGCTGGGGAAGGAAGGACATGCTGCTTGCATCAGGGCTCCGAGCTACAGCAACAGGCGTTTGCCTGAGGAAGCTTACGGGACGGTCGCCGTGCGACCTTCGGGGGCGCAGGAGCGTCCGAGGCCTTGGGAAGGGGTGGGAGCCAGGGAGACGTGTCAGTTCCTCCTCTCCCTGGTGGGGGTTTGTGTGCGTGCGCGGGCAGTGCTGTCCCTGTAGGAACAGAAATGCACGTAGCGGCAGATTGTGGCCCTTCCCTGCTCCGAGTTCACCCGTAGTTCTGGTCTTTGGAGGAAATGACTGACTCACTGTTTTTCATCTCAGTTACAAATTATGAGGGACGTTCGCTGGTCCGGGCTGGGTCTGCTGTCCACACCCTCCCGCTTGGCGTGACGGGAGCCAGACTCAGGCAGGACCTGGTCCGGGACCCTCCGCCCCCCGCGGGCTCAGGGGAGGGGAAGGTCCGGGGCTGTCGGCCTGCTGGGGGCTTCTCAGACGCCCCGAAGGTGCTCTCACCTCCCCTCCACCCCTGCCCGTCTGGTCCTAACTGCCTCGTAAGCAGGAGGGGAGGGCAGGTGAAAAGGGTCAGAGGTTTAGGACTACTCGATGTTTGAAGCAAGTGAGTTGCCGCAGGCCCTCCGCTGGTTGCGGGAATCCTCTGAGGCACCGCACCGAGGCTCCCGCGCTAAATGGCCGAGTGACTTCCTGAGACTCTCCTTTACGTTTCCGGGGTGCGGGACCAGAATGATGACAGATGGTGCTATTTTAGGTGGTGTTTTCAATGAGAAATTTCCATTTTAGAGGACATTATTTGATCATTGTTTATAATTCACTTCTGGTAATAATGAACCACCCATTTGCAGTGGTGAACTTTTACTTGGGTCTTGGAAAAGTGATGGTAACAATTATGGATTTAACACTTAGTTCTAAAACTTTCTGAAATCAATGAGAAATTAAGCTCGGCAGGCACGTGAGAGGAAGGATGCAGGAGGCTGTACCCCAGATAAAGGGATGTCTCTGTAGGAAGGGTTCCCAGGTTTGTGGGGTTACTTTAAGGTCTCTTTCCTAAGGCTCACTGCAGATCAACTCACCTAGTCTGTACATTTATTTATTGCATTTTACAGGACTGAAAATTTGATCTATTAGTATTTTTTTAATATTCCAACTATAAAGAGGAATGAGGAAGCCTCTCATAAATACACATATAATTTCTTTTAAATGAGGAAATTAAGGTGAAAAGAAGATGAGGGTAGAAACAATAAGACAGCGTAAGAAGAAAGATTAATTTGTTCACAAAATTCATGCCGTAAAGTCCGGTGGCCTTTCATCTCTCTGATAATGCACTTGTATGCAGAGTATCTAAAGAACTCTTACAACTCAACAATAAAAAAACCCCAAATGACCCAATTTTTTAAAGGGCAAAGAATCTGAATAGATATGCCTCCAAAGAACATACACAAATGGCCAATAAGCACATGAAAAAGTTCTCAGTATCATTAATCATCAGGGAAACGTACATCCAGACCTTAGTGAGATACCACAGGGATGATTTCTAAAAATGTTCACCATTTCTGTGGGTTGTCTTTTCACCTTCTTGATGGTGCCCTTTGAAGCACGAAAATCTTTCATTCTGATGAAGTCCAATATGTCTTTTTTGTTTTCTGTTGCCAGCCACATGTACTTTTGATGTCACTTCTGATAAATCAGTGCCTAATCCAAAGTCATGAAGATTGATGCCTATGTTTTCTCTTCTAAGAGTTTTACAGTTTTCAGCTCTTACATGTGGGTCTGTGATCCATTCTGAGTTGTTTTTGCACACGTGTGCGGCAGGCGTCCGCCTTCACTCTTTTTTTTTTTTTTTTTT